CCTTGGCCCAAAAATTACCGCCTCAATACACCCCTGTTAAGTTTATATTACATGTTTATGTATGAACTCTCTAAAATAAAAAAACACAAAACTTACATGTGTCTTTTAACAAAGTCTATGTCTTCCTTTAATCTGGCATTTAATACTTCTGCAATCTCTTTCCTATCTTTAATTCTAGTTTCACTTCGGCTACAGTAGGCTACGTGCCATTGTAGTTCATTCAAATCTAATGTACAGGCTTCGTGTTCTGTGGATCGAGAAAAAATACAAATATAATCTTTGATCATAATGGACATTCTATTCACAGAAAACAGTCATAATACAAGTATACAGTTCTCTATACCTATGAGCATCCATATTGGATTTTTCTGAGCCAGCATGTGAAGTGGATTTTGTGATAAAGCATATTTTATGATTAGTGATGCCATCAAACACTTAGTTTTAGTGGAATTGGAGGGACCACAGGCGTCTGACTGAAAATTGGAATGGTGCAAATTGATGCTATCAGTGTCCGCGATACACATAAAAATTGTAGAAAACCTCTTTAGAATCCCTTTAAAATATCTAATACAATGAAATACCAGAGAAACCTTACCTCTTTGAACAATAGCAGGAAGTTCTTTCAGTCTTTTCAAACATAACTTATCAATCTTATCAGTTAATGTGGCAACTCTTTCCTGCTCTCTCTTCCATTCTGCTTCTGTTTCTTGTCTATCTTTCTCTAATCTAGCTAATAATACTATTACTTCTTCTATAACATCCTCACCACCAAGAAACGGCAAACTTAATTCATCTATAATGTCTTCTGCATATGGACCTAAATTGGACAAAACAAAATTCAATTTATTTTTTTTATGAAATGAGATGACCCAAACTTCAACAATTTTCGTTAGCTATATATGCTTTTGAAAAACTATTAATAAAGCAAACCTTGTTTTGGGTGGATTGTTAGAGCTCTATCAGCTATTGAAGCAAATATTTAGACAGCTATATATCAAGTCTACTTACTTTCATCTAGTCTACCACCAACACCTTGTATAGATAACTGATGTGATTCTGGTGTTAAAGTAGTAAGTCTAGAAACAGTGCTAGCTGATTCAGACTTTTTACTAGGAGTTGCTTCCCTTTCATCAAAAAATCTCAACTGTTTCTTTGGTGGTACTGGAATTAGAAAATGGGAAATTTATTAGCTACATGATACTAGACACCCCAAAAATATTTAGAGTGTATGAACACAGATTTGATTTTACCAGTGGAAATATATCAAGATAGTGAACCACCTCCAAATACCTATCGCTTATTATACAGTTTTACTTATTATGCGGTTTGCTAAATTGCACCACCAGTGTTGCAATCTATGCTTATAGTTATATGATCTTCATTTTGCATCACACACAAACAGTACTTTCCAAGTTTAAGAAAAAAAATAATGAGTTAAAGTAGAAGATAGGGTTTCTATTCATTTAGCATTTTCATTTTCATAAATGAAAATAAGGGAACCCATCTTAAAGCTTATCACCCAAAATAATCATGATCTTCTCTGCTCAATCAAACGAGAATCTTACCTGGGACTTGAATTGAAATTTCAGACTGAGGTCTGCTGGATTTATGACTCTTGATTTCTTCTTCTGCATGCTGAAACCATTGATGTATTGAGTTCTGAAGTAACTCTAAATGAGAAACTGCTTTGTTTACACAAGGTAAGGTTGATTTTGTCAATTCACAACTTCTACGTCCATCTAATTGGGGTATTTTTGGCCAATTTTCTGGCATGGGATATACAGCATCTACAAATATAACAAAGAAATCAAAATTCAAACATATCTCAGATTATTGTTAAGCTTGTTTATTGATAAAATGTATATAGATATCCTTGACCGAAACATCCTTCTCTATTCCAGACTCTTTGGAGGTGTGGAAAATCCCCATTTAACAGGGTCTTTTTCTTCTGACTCTACTTCAGCTGACAACTGTCAAATTATCCATCAAAGGCTGGAATAAATAGAGACAGATGTTTTGGACTAATAGATATCTAAGACCATTTCTATCAGGCTGTATATTTTTCTAAAAATCCCTTATTAATACAATTTTTGTAATTGATGTTTGTCCTTTAAAAATAATCAACAACTCACCATTAATGGCAGATTTAACAGATGAGAGTTTTGATGGTGAACTTAGTAAGTCATCTTGTTCAGGAGATTGGCCTAATCTGGACACTTCCTCAATCTTGACTACTTTATTTACAAAATCCATCTCAATTCTTGGACAATAATTTATATAATTCTTTTCCTTTTACATCTCTACATCATTTCATGATTAAGTTATAAAGGAGTTAAAGCTGAAAGAAAAAATATTTTGGTTAAGAACATTTTTATCTGATGATGGTGACAAGTTCATTCTCAAATGCTAATTAAATTGTCTAGTAGATGATGTTGAGTTTTCAATTCAAATTTTATGTAAACTTTTTGTTATTAAATGATAAGTATACGGTAAATATAAGGCTGAAAGTGAAAAGGTGTTCTTAAATCTGGTAAACCATACCAAGACAACTTTATTCTTTGAATTTTGACATAAAGAGTTCGACTAACAGACAATTCCAATTTCCAAGTCATCTTGCTGTATCAAGTAAGCTGGTATTTAGATGTCAGTCAAAAAGTCTACTTCAGTTAGTCTATAAATCATAGTATTTTGTTGGTTTCTTAATTTAACATTTTGTTTTTGTGTCATTATCAATATGATGATAGCATTAAACTTAAAGAATCTGAATAATCAATCAAGCCAAAGACCTAGTGCAAAATACTATTACTAATGAAGATACGGGCAATACGTTGCACAAACTGTTATTTTATTTATTTTTTTTTACGTTATATAGGCTAGTAGTCGTGGCAATCCAGTGTAGGTAAAAACAAAATCAAGTACAACTCAATCAAAACTAAAGTGACAAAGTAAAAAAAATTAATCTACACTTTTTGAAATATTAATTACACAACATTTAATATAAATAAAATGTAAACATAACAAACTCACTGCAGGCAGCCATTTTGACGCTTTCTCGTTTCTACGGTCGGAAAAATATTGAAGAGTTCGGCTTTTTCCGGAAAATGACAAAATTTCCCACAAATCATCAACAAAAATGGCCGATAGCTTGGTTTTGAGAGTAGGTTATTTCCATCGTTTGAGATATAATGCTGACTGCGCATGCCGCAATTATTGCACATGAATTTGTAGACTTATTCTCAACTTAGTTAAAAAATTTGGACTTTTTTCATTAGAAATATGTATTTCTATCAGCACAATTAAATTTATATAAGACATTCTCATAATTTCATCATTATAAAGGAATATTTGCAAAATATTTTCACGCATGCGCAAAAAATGTTATTGATTCTGACTGATACATTTTGTACGTAACCGTGTTTTTGTAATCAAAGAAATTTATTGAACATTTTCTGAATATTTTCTTTAAAATCAACTTTAAATTGTATCCAACTATGAATCAAGTGAGTTATTTCAATCCAACTTTGCTTCCAAATTCCAATAAATGAGATAGGCGATGATATAGATATAGAACCATCTGCTCCCTCCACTCTGCTGTGACTTGAGTGAGCTTTATTTTGAGACAGTTGTTGTGAGACCGAGTAATGTTTTGTTTTTCTTCTGATTATCTGCGTGTTTCTATCTGAAAATTAAGTGAAGATATAATTGTTTCCTGTCAACCTATATCAATCACAATATTGTTTTGTACTAGTTGGTTTAATCCTCATCAAAGAACTGTGTTGCCCCTTCTTCCTATTGCTTTGCATTCCCTCTCTTTTACAACTCAGCTGGTGGTTTGCTTGTGTTTATTCTTCCTTTTTTTTTCTTATTAGTCCTAATGTTGTTTGTCCAGAGTTTTTACCCTCAATATTATATTTACCTATAACCTATAACCAGCAGTGTTCATTCGAAAAGATGATAAAAGCTTATGTCTTGCTCCTACTTAATATCCAAAGGAAGTGACAATATGATATTAATGTTGCACAAAAAACATTTTGCCATAGCAAAAGCATGAATCATCTAAAATTGTTATAAAAATGGTGTCACTTACAGATTTGATGTATGGTATGAGTTCTGTAAGATTACGTCTGCTGAATATTCTAAGAACTGTACATCAATCAACATCAACACATCTTCTTATTAAAAAGAATGGAAATTTATAAGGTTTATTATAAAGCATCAGTGAGAAGTCTTCATTGCGATACCTGCCTGCCATTCCCATTTTCTATGAGTCTTGAATTGTGGATGTCCCGGTGGCTTCTTCTACCAATTGCTTCATGTTGGCCCATATGGCCATCTTGATAAGCTTAGTCTTATATTGGCTTAATATTCTATAGGGCCTAACAGACTTTGGATCATAATTTTTGTTAAAGCCAAATCTTACTGTTACAGTTCTCAGAATAATTTCTGTCTGAATTATAGATGGCTGATTAGCATGTGATACTCTTAGAAGGGAAGACTCTGTGTTAATTTAAATGTAACCCATAGTGTTAGAAATACTAACAAAATGAAATCAAATGGTTTGAAAGTATAATTTGTATGATTCTAAAAGCGAGTTTCCTTTGTCCAGCCACAATTATTCATTTGGAAGTTTATACTTGCAATAAACATAAACTTACTTCCAGAAATTGATCATTTTGAACCATTGTATGCTCTGTGCAAATCCAAATCAATTGAAATATTATTTGATTGAATTGATAACTTAAGCTTACTGTTTGATAACTGTTGATAAAAAATAACATAACTTATTACTCAATGAGTTGATAAAAAGTAAAGGATTTGTGGATCCAAATTGTGATGTTATATTTACAGACTGTAACCCACATTTTTTTAACCTTTAGCAAGCGAGAAATTTAGTTCAGGAAGATAATAATTCCATTTTTTTTGTTATTATTATTAGCAGAGATGATGTGATGTGATACTATTTGTAAGAAACTGTGCTGCATGTACACAATGACAGTAAAATGCAGGAGAATTCTACAGAAAACACCTCATCGTGTCAGAGTACATCTGAGTCAGCTATACCAGTACCTATTCAACCTCCCCCACGTCACATAAGACATTCACCAAGGGTAAAAAAACGTAGGTATCCTTGTCATCTATCATAAGTCTTAGCAAATGAGTTATGAATTTTTTTTTCTTAATTCAGTTGGTATTAATGGTGCTGATAAACACTCTATTACACCTAAATCTCTCTACAGTATTTACACTCATGTCCATGAGACCCTTTTTATGCATATTATCCAATATGAAAGGCCATGTTGGAAGTTCAAAGTTTAACATGGCGGTTTGAAAATGATAAGCCTTTTATTTCTTAAAAAAAAAATATTTAAATAACTGTGAGAAATTCACCAATTATCTTCCAAGATTGGCTATCTGGATTTGATGTTACCAGCTCAGTGGAAAGCATGTATGGTATTTGGTCTATTTAAACACTGTGCATACACTGTACAAATTGTATAGAATGACTTGATATTATGTTATGTGGTTCTCCTGCTCCTACTATTTTCAGTGATGCAGTTAAAAGATGGGACAATAAACCGAGGCCCCATGTGCTACAGGCTGTGCACGTTTAAGATCCCTCGACCGTTGGATATTGAAAAAGAGCAAGCTAATGCTGCTGTCCTGGCAAAATTTCCCTCAACGTACTCTGCATGGCATTGCCCGTCTCCAATAGCCCACATGGTGCAGAAAACCATTTGAAGTTGATGTCTATTTTGAATTAAAATTCACACTGAAACAATTTTCTTTTCTGTATTTTTAGCCAAGATAATAAAAGATGGAACACTATCTGTGTTATCATCCAGTTTACAAAACAAAACAAATGGTCATACAGAGAAAGCTTCAACCTCTAGTACCAGTACCAATAACAAAACAACTAATAATGATAGCAATACTCCAGTTATTCCCCCTGTCAGAATACAGACAACACCTCCAAAAACACTGCAAGAAAAACTAGCAGCCACTCCTGGTTTCAGCATGAAGGTATGACAATTTGAGGGGTTTTTTTCTATTAAATTCTTGATTTTCAAAGAAACCATCATCATTAATAGAAAACAGATTTGATGTACTAGTAACCATTATTCATAAAGCAAAAGTTAAAAAAGCTAAAAATATCACATTAAAAAAACCTTTTCCTGGTTAACAATCACAAGTTGGCTACATTTCTGCTTTGAATTATGTTCTGTTGAATTTTGATTGATCTGATGGTTTCAAAAACTATCAAAATTGAAGCTAAAAAATCAAAAACAGATTAGATTAGTAATCAATTATAATTGGAATGATAATGACAACGATACATTGGATGCATTTCGATACACCATACCACGATACATGTATCCTGTCTATAATTTGTCTAGTAACCCATATCATAATGCGTTAAATATCTCAGCCCATTCATCATGGCATGGTCAGCAATACCTAGCACTAGTTGACAATGCAAGTCAGATATGGTAAAGTCAGTTTTATAATTTGTCCACCAATGGCTAAACAGAGAAGCTCCAAACCCACGATCACCATGAGTGAGACATCAAGATTCCACCTGAGTAAAACCATAATTTATATTTCAGCCACGACGGAGAGGTAATAAAAGGAAGAGTTTCAATGCTCAGCTAGCAGATACTAAAGAAGGTGCCATTGATCTAACACCAGATTCTTTTCTTGTTAATATTAATCTAAAGGTATGTATGGATTTTCTTTTTGATATTAAATCCTCCAAAAAATTGCTTGAACTATGTTAAAATGCTAATATTCGAGGGGTGTTTTTTTTATCGTTTTGTTATAGTCTTCAAAATTCAATTCCATTGAAAATCTCTTTTTTTCCTAAGTCTGAAATGAAGGGAGTTTTACGTCCTACTTTTCTGCACCATGTGGGCTAATGAAGATGGGGTGCAATGAGCTGAAAGACAGACAATTTCTGATATTAAAATTAGACATGCTTAAATCTTTAAGCAAGGAGATGGTCTCAAAATGGCATGGACAGTATTCAACTACAAAGGGAGGTAACTCAGATAAAGTATTAAGATCTGCTATCCATCCTGTAGAATTGCTCAATGTCAACAAATTTGAACATGTTTGTATGATGTATGCTTGTCTTAATTTCCTGCTTATTCAGTAATAATTTTGTTATATTTTTCAGTCCATTATTGATTCAAACACATTTTGTCGTCTGCCAACAGAATATCAGCAAAATTTGATCTCCCTCTTACCAGAATGTGATAAATTAAATGGTGCTGAAAGCTCCTTAAGAATGAGCAGCACCGCACTAAATAATGAGTTTTTTGCCAAAGCTTGTCAAGAATGGAGGGAAAGACTGTCGGAGGGTAAAACAAGATTTTTTTTAATAATATTTGTGTAGAAAAGAAGTATCAGACTTTGGGACAAATGTATATTTATCATAAAAGCTTATTTCAGATTTGTATCACGCACTATGCCAAATAAAAGTTGGTGCAAGTATGGAAAATATCATGTCTTTTTTGTATTTAGATATGTGTAAGCAAGTAGATGACAGACTTTTTCAAATAGATTTTTAAGAGGTTGTCTAAAGGTTTTTTATGTTTTAAACAATTGTGATTTTTGGGCCATGTCTTATGTCTTTGCCATGACATGACATGACTTAGGTTTTTTGCTCACTGCACAATTCTGCAGATCTTTCCAAACATGTGAATATAATTCATGCTTGAGATAGACAATTCTTCAACCTTTTTCTTTTTAATCCTACAGCTGAATTTACGCCCGAAAATCAACAACGGATTAAACAAGAACAAGAGAAAGAACTTCTGAAGTTAGATCCTTGGAAGGTGAGTTTTGTATGAAAAATGAAATATTGTCATGAAATACAAGTGAAATATTGTCATGAAATACAAGTGAAATATTGTCATGAAATACAAGTGAAATATTGTCATTAGGTGAATGAAATATTGCCATGAAATATGAATGAAATATTGTCATGAAATATCAATGAAACATGTGACTTACAATGAAATACTGTCAATTAATGAAATATTGAAAGTGAAATACTTTCAATTAAAAAATGAAATATTGTCAATAGAAAAAAGTAAATCACATAGAAAGACATTCTTATTATTTACAACAAAATAATACACATCACATGCTATCTCTTTCAGGCTAAACATTTTGAAGCTGTTTGGGGTCAAAGGTCAGTATTGTTGCTTAATTTATTTCATCAATTTCAATAGTCAACTACATAATATGTGTTTTTGTATGTGAATTTTTCATAGTGACTTAACTATGATTGTGACTCAACCATTCCCTTGAGGGTCATGAGCAAGTGTTTATGAGTTAATGCCCTTGACTAAAATTCACCCATAATTATTCTAATGCTGGCAATAGCTGTTACGATTGGTAATTAAATGATTAAGAAGTGCTTTTTCAAAAAAATTAAGCTATTGCTTTTATTAATTTATATTTTCAACTCACTTTCAAATTTGATTATGCTTTCAGGAAAAAGGGTGATGTGCCCAAGGCTCTAGGACCACCTCAATCAACTCCTAAAGTCAGTTCTACAGTCCAGCCGTCTCAAGTAAAACAAAAACCTCTGCGTAGTATGTTAGTTTCTCAAATGTTAAAAAAGAGAGATGTTTCTAGAAATGTGGCGGCTAAAATTCAAGCAACAACAAGCTCTCGTGCCTGTGTAAATAATAGTAATATTAATAATAACAATAGTCCAACTAGTAGTCTCAGTCTAAGTATGCCAGTGACCTCTAGTTTATTGACCTCATCATCAGCTACATCAGTTACACCTTCTGATAAACCTCTTGTAGCAAAAATAAAACTTGAAACAACTACTGACTCCACAAGTGGTCCTAGTCCAATAAAGAAAATTAAAATTATTCCCCCTACTCCACCTCAACCAACCCAAGCTCAGGCTAAGACATTAGCTCAAATTCGAGCTCAGACAGAGGCGGCCAGGTTGCAGAAGAGTGGAAACAGTGTGCCTTCAGTGATACAGTCTCAGTTAGCTGCTGGTCCTCAACAAGTACCCAGTGGATCTACCAAAGTTTTAAATACTGGTGCTGTAACTGCCAGCTTTAGATTAGCTGGACAGACACGAACTCTTGCACAAATTAAAGCGCAAACTCAAGCTGCTAAATCAAATGTAGTAAATGTCATATCTATACCTCAAGCCACTGGTACTACTCAAACACAAGTTACTATGAGAAGCTTATTAACTGATCCAGCTTCCCCTGGAGCTCAGTCAGGTGGACAAACTCGAACTCTTGCTCAAATTAAAGCTCGTACTAAACAAGCTCAGATAAAAACTGTACAGAAACCTGTCCTGCCCGTCACAGTTACTGTGTCGGACAAATCAGTAGAAGCAATGCCGCGTGCTGCAACACCAACAAAAAATCAATCTGTGTCTGCTTCACCCAGCAGAGTGCGGCCCTTATCTCGAAATTCAAGCGCAGATCAACAAAAACTCAATTTACAGCGATCACATGAGATTTGTAAAGCAGAATTTGAGAAAAGTAGAAATAAACAAGAATCACCAACGTCAAGTGTCAAATTACACTCCCCAAATAACATGACCTTACCTAGTGAATCTACATCAAGTAATTTTACAAAGACTCCAACTCCAACCAAAGTTGTGCCTACCACTCCAACTAAAGACCTTCCCAAACAACAACCACCCCAGCAACAACAACAGCAAATCTTGTTAGTTACATCTAATAACTTATCTCAACCTAATACAATGTATTTAGTGAGTGCTCCAGCATCTACCTTATCAAATTCAAGCACCAGCCAAGTGATACCAGTGACTCAAGTTGGAGAAAATGTAACGCCTAGTGCTACTAGAATAATAACTATACCTGTCAGTAAGAACAATGAAACTGTGTCATCTTCTGCAACTACTTCTCAGGGAATTGAACAAGCTGTTAGAGCCATCTTAGCGAGAACACCTCCTCGGGCATCCAGTGCTCCTCCAAACAATGTCAATCGTCAAACAGATGTTATTACGTTAGTTCGACCAGCAAGTGTGGATATCGTGAACAATGCAAGTGCAAACAATAGCCAATCAAACTCTTCCAATGAAGAAATTGGACTCAATCTCAACTCAGAACAGGTGAATTTTTTATCCAAAGCTGGCACTGTTATTCAAGCAGGTCGTAAAGGGTCTCCAACCAAAATCATCACACGACCAGCAGTAACTGTGGTAGAAACTACCCAACCACAGTCAGTTGTACCCGCTACCCGTAACATCAAGGGTAAACCCACAACTGTGGATAACAGTGTCTTAGCGAATGGAAATAATAAAATTTTAATGGAGACCCAAGTAGCTAATCTAATTCGTAAACCTGTACTATCTAATGCTACTGGAATTCAAAATGTTCAAGTTCTCACGTCTGGTCAAAATATAATGCCTGTGATCATTCAAGGGGGGACTACTCTTCCTATTGTTTCTCATGGGAATGGTTTGACAGACAACAGTAATTTGTTAAGTCAGTCTAGTTGTGCATGTAGTTTAAAAGCAATGGTTATGTGTGAGAAGTGTGGAGCATTCTGTCATGATGACTGTATTGGTCCTTCTAAACTTTGTGTTACATGTTTAATTACTACTTAGTCTTACAACTTTCTCTCTATTAAATCTATTATTTCTCTTACTGTAGTTGTATCTAAATGTGGCCTCAAAATTATCATCCATTATATTATGAATTTCCACTATCTATTTACAGTAATGTCAATTTAGACAATTTTTTTTACTCTTTCATATGGTTGAAAATTTAATGAAATATTTTATAAAGTCTTTAAATGAAATTTAGTAAATGTAAATATGATATATAGGCACAGCTTTATTTGCAGCGGGGACAACAGAAGATACAATTTGAAACACTTAATTAATTTTTTGATAACTATTGCTCTATAAAGCTTAACCTATATATTGATATATGTTTTAAGTAATAATATTAACATGATTAGAGAAGTACTTAAACACAGTCAACAAAACATATCACACTTATCAGGTAATATACAGGTAGAGTGGAGCCAGGGTTTAATTTAAGCAGTTTGAGATTCAAAATGACCCCTTATTGATCCAATGTTAAAAAATCAGATCAAATTGTATATTTTTTTGTGCGAAATTGTTGTCCGAAATATATACCAACTTTATAATCTTAAGGAACTAACATCAATGGCACAATTTTTTTAAATTACTACAGAAATTCCTAAAGGAATGTGAATTAAAATAGGCTGTTCTTGTATTTGTCTCCGTATACACAAATATCTTATCTCAAATTTAGAATTTTGTACTGTAACATTGAAAATATTTGAAAATAATTATAACTTCTTTTAATGCCCGGTATCCCCCTGTCAGTGAGGCAGGTAAGAGGGGCTGACATGGAAAAAGCGTCGTCGTTCGGATGGGACAATAAACTGAGGCCCCGTGTGCTACAGGCTGTGCACGTTAAAGATCCCTCGACAGTTGGAAATCGAAAAAGAGCAGGCTAATGCCGCTGTCCTGGCAAAATTTCCCTCATGGCACCCTGCATGGCATTGCCCGTCTTCATTAGCCCACATGGTGCAGAAAAGTAGGACGTAAAACTCCATTCATTTCATTTCTTTTTCTTTTAATGCCATTACTATTTCAGTTATTATTCAAAAAACCTTATGAATTAAACTCATATACCTTAAGAGCCAAAAGGTATTTGTAGTAGTGAAGTCATAATCTGGTCAAGTGTTTCTTGAAAACCTGAATAGAATGTTGCGAATAGAAGGTATAAAAGTTCTGATAAAACCTTCATTCTCTTTCCAATGCCATGTTCAAAATTATCATATGAAATCACATTCAAAACTGTTTTTAGTCATTGTTTATTATGTGCATCCCCAGTTTGATAAGCCCTTTGTTTAGGGTAAACAACTGTGTATTATACACACAAATAAACTGATTCAGTACAAGAAATTTTGTGGCCAATATTTGTTTGTAATTAGTTTATTAATTTATTTTACTTCTAATTATATATTTTATAAGTTCTATGTTGTTTTAGATTTAGTTTTTAAATTAAGTATTATAGCACTAATTTTGCTATTTTTATGATGTGGGGTAAAAAAATATTCTCTTAATTTGAAATTAGTTTGGGTTAAAGAGATGCACAGCAAAATCTCTTAGTTATTTGTTCTTGCGAGTTTCACATTCATAGAGCAGTTTTGGTTTTTGCAATTTTCTTTTCAATCAGTTTGTTTTATTTTTAAAAATAACTCTTTATGGAGATTCAACTTATTCAAATCAAATGACACTTATGATTAATTTTTAAAAAAATCGTAGGAGTCTTTTAAAGGGATAGATGTGCCATTTTGGGGTGTTGATGTGAGTCTTCAATATAAGTAAAGAGTCTTCAGAAGTACTAGAAATGTAAGAAAATCGCATAATTCCTTCAAAAATACTTCAAACTAGGAATTTTACTCACTCTTTCTATATATGTCTTTTTTAAAGATCACGAGTTGTCATTTTAACTTTCAAATGCAGATAATTCTGGACACATATGGATTTGAAGGCTTAAATTTTCAAGTTGAGCTGTGAACACTATTACTGATCAGCTCAGCTGAAAATATTAGTCTTTTAGACTGAAGTTCGATTGGTCAAAAAATGGTGCATCTGTCCCTTTAAAACATTTTGGTGTAAGTAATTTCTATAACAAGAACATTTTAAGATCATTAAAGCGGCATAGTCTTCTGAAAATAATTTATTTTTACCAGTTTAGCTCGTTTTCAGCCGCCCGTGTTGTTATCAGACTGAAGACTTGTCTATAATTCAAGTGTTAATATTTTACAACAGGCATAAAAGGGCTTATTATTGAGGTGATGACATCATTATTTTAGTCCAAATTTAGCCAAGATGGAGCTCTTTTTATATGAATAATTAGAGTAGATTCCTTTGTAAAGATCATATTTTAGTGATGACACATCACCTTATCATGAGAGAAAGGATACTATATTTCTACAGTATTCAGGACTTAAAATGTCTTTTAAAGTGTCTGTTTTCATTAATCTGTTTATTGTACCATTATCACATTTGTATATGTTTATCATATCATTATCATGTATATTATATCATAATCATTATTGTATATATAAACTATAGAAGATACAGTAATTGACTTTATGTACTATAGATAAAATCAAATGTTTCTTTCACTCAAATCTCTTGTTTTAGTGTGATTGAATGTGCAGAAGGAATAAAAGTTAATAGTATATTTTATTATTTTCTAAGGGCAATAATAGTCATATTGTCGGAGGCAGAAAAAAGATGACTATTTATGTCATTGCATCTAGAATTGCATACCATTATAAGTATAACCTTGGTCAAGAGCTCTTATATCACAGATCCTGTACAGAGTCAGTTACAGTCCTTTATAGAATCTCATATTTTGTATAGCATCAGTAACAGTCCTTTATAGAATCACATATTCTGAATAGAAGCAGTTACAGTCTTTATACATATTCTGTATAGAATTAGTTCTGGACAGTCCTCCACAGAATCGTATATCCTCTACATAATCAGTTACAGTACTTTATAGAATCACATGTATAGAAGGAGTTACAGTTTAAAGGAGTTTATAGAATCGCATATTCTGTACAGAATCAGTTATAGTCCTTTATAGAATCTCATATTCTGTACTGAAACATTACATATTATGTATATAGAATTAGTTCTGGATAGTCTCTCAAAGAATCAGATATTGTGAACAGAATCAGTTACAGTCCTTTATAGAATCACATATTCTGTATAGAAGCAGTTACAGAGTACAGTTCTTTATAGAATCATATATTCTGTACAGAATTAGTTCTGGTCAGTCCCTCATAGGATCACATTTCCTGCACAGAATCAGTTACAGTACTTTATAGCATCACATTTTCTGTATAGAATCATTTATTGTTCAGTCCTTTATAGAATAACATATTATTATTCTGTATAGAAGCCAATACAGTTCTTTACAGTATCACATATTCTGTATAGAATCAGATACAGTTTTTTTTTTATAGAATCACATATTCTGTATAGAATCAGTTCCGGACAGTTCTTTATAGAATCACATATTCTGTTTAGAATCAGTTAAGAAGCTTAATAGAATCACGTATTCTACATAGAATCAGTAACAGTCATAACGGAATCACATAATTTGTATAGAATCAGATACAGTTCTATATAGAACTTTTTTGTTCTGTATTTTTCTTGTAGATAATCCGTACTCTGGCCAAAATAACCACATATCTTTATAGGTTAATCAAGACTTTCACAAAGGCTAAAGTAGGTTAACCCCTAAAACAAGTGGGGACTTGATTGGTTTACGATCAATGTATTTATTACATTAAGTAAGGTTTATTTACATGTAGTCATACCCAGTACTCACTCGCCATTTTGGATTAAGCCCGGGTTGATACGGATCATGTTCATGATATGTTCAAAACAAAAACTTTTAAAAACTAACGCAATGAATAATTCTATAGGATTAGCTGTGATTTGGTATTTTTTACAGACATGTCAGTGTACACCGACGACAGAATCTAGAGTTGTATCAAAAATAAAAGTATTAACAGGTAAGCTTTATAAGCAAGAACATTTTTTGTTCCAGAGATATTTTCGATGGGCATATCATTATTACTTGCTAAATTTTAAATGAAATTGGATATTAGCCTCAAAATAATGTATATCGGAATATTGAATTTATTCTTTTAGCGTTGATGCGAAATTATAGGTCCTTTAATACTTGGCATGTATGTTTTCATAAAATTTTAAGTTGAATAGAGCCTACTAGTGAATAAAACCCAAACAAAATTCAATCCAGAAACCATTGCCCCGAGTATGGCACTGGAGCGTGCTGCGTCAGACGTCAACAGTTTGAAATTGAATACCAGGTTCCCATATCACAATAGGTGAATAGGTTGAAATTATCTGTCTGCAGGTAACTGTGTGGACAGCAGTGGTACTATTGTACCTGATGGTGGGAGCTGGACATCATCTGCTGGTGTTTGTGATAAAAATATCTGTTATCACGCCCCATTCGGTATTTACACAATACAAGAAAGGTGAGAGCTTATATTTTTATGACCTCGTTTCTAAAACCGTACAATGCCCTGGCAGATCTCAAGCAAAAAACAACAAATCACTAATGTATATACATTAGGCTGTCTTTTTCTTGTCTAAAGGGCTTCCGAGATACATAGTACGCTACCATAGAATGCGCACCAGGCATTTGAAAATCCAGGCATTAAGGTCTAGGATTTATCTAAATTAAAAGCAAAGCAATGGCACTTTATTAAAGTTTTGATTTTGCCGAAGCGTTCTTAATAACATGATCCCCTTCACCCTGAAAGAGTAGATCTAAATCACTTTTTTCAAACTGAGGTTTTTCGTCTACATCCATTTGCCCACATTGATTAAAATGATCACTCATTTCAAACGACCAGTTTTCTATTTCTGGATAATTAAAGGGAGAAAGCATCGTCGCACATCCTGTCCTAGTACATATTAATTTTCGATTTGAGCATTCTTCCCAGCGTACTAGGTTTCGTCTGTCGTCAACTACTACCCATTTCCACTCCTTCGAACTGAAATAATCCACCCACACTCGAGCTCGCCACCGCCAATCTTTTTCAGATATAAGGTTGGCGAGTGGACCTTTTTGGACCCTCCAGTCACCGAGGCAGTGTCCCTCTCCAACAACAGCAAGTTGTTCACCATACTTTGTGTGGTATTTCGTTTCCAGATTCACAAATGATCCTATGTGTTCAACCAATGTGTCCCGTATTCCCCAACTGGTGTGAATCTTACAGCCCACTGTCATTCTGGATATTTCACGATAATGAAGAGATTCGGTTCGAATAATCTTCTTCCTTTCATCCATCAACACCCACATCCATTGGACAGACGAACCCTCTCTGACTGAACCGGAAGTGAACCAAATATTTTCACCACCTTGTATTATTCGTCTGTTATGAGCTTTGGCCACAAAACTGACTTTCCAATCTCCTCGTTTAGATCTCCTGGTTAAACATATGACTCCCATAGTCAGTTCCTTCTGGCATATTTCATTTTCATCTACTCTATAACCATGTAAGAGAAAGTCAACTCGTAGCTTGCTGGACATTGCAAGTTCAGATCCTAAGAAAACACAAACTGCTGCTTTCGTTCCTTTATTGAGTGGTTTTAACTGGGGATGTTTTAGGTTTAGATGACGTCAAGATTTTCTAAGACGTCCCTTGGTGTCACCAAACAATCATAATGTTCAGGAAATATGGGTGTCTAACAAAATAATAAAATATTATTATATTATAAAATTCAGTTTTGTGCATTACAGACTTGTTAAAATAAAACACAGTCTCTAGGTAGATCTTACTTAGATAAAGGTTACTAATAACGAGGAAATGTAATGTCATGTCCCTTTCAGTTTCAATCAGATGAGGTCCTACCGTGGCACCAAAGAAGTCTTTTTCGGTTTTCTTTACCTTTCACTTTATTTCCAGATGTCGACCATTAGGACCAACCGAGAACCCAGATAATTTGAACTGTCAGACAGTGTCCGAGACGATTCAACCATTTCCATCGTGCTGTCCAAAATTAGAATGTGATGAGAGGAATCCTTTGACAACTATGTCACCTTCAGGTAGGCCTAGAGCTCCACACTCTTCTTGGACTAAAAAAATACCACAATCGGCTCTGATGACAGCTTAATTAATAGCTGATCAAAGCTAAATTCGTGAAAAAAAAAATTAAATAGCTCTATGGTCTACATGTAGGCCTAAGCGTTACTGTAATATGTAACTACGGGCTATATGTAGCCTATAGATTGGTGATCTTGTTTTTTACAGCATGTATTGACATGGCGACACCGTTTTCTTGTGAATTCTGGAAAAATGAAACATCAGGCTGCCAGAGTGGAATAAATGAAGTACTGTACAACTATGCTAAAGATTACTGTCAGAAGACATGTGGGTAAGCAATATTTCTTTGCAGCAGAATAAGGTGTGGTCTGGGTCCTTTGTTTGGGTTCTTTTGAATAACCTCCCTTGGCACAACACTTCTACTGAACACGTCTAAATTTCCGCATGTTTGTGCAATCAATTGTATATTAAAGGATACCTACGTGTAGCTGTGTGTACAAATTATGGTATCATAGTAACATATTGTACAACTATTTGAAATCCTGTTAAGAAACAGCTCCTTTGAGCAGAAATTACCTCCCTTGGTTTAATGAAGACGTCTTCATCCAGACGTAGCCTATTCTCCGAGTTGTAGGCTAGTTATTGTGTAGGCCATACAAAACTAAAGGCTTGATTAATTCTTTTTTTTCAGATTGTGTTGAAAAGGAAACTGAATTTTTCGTATCAAAGACAAGACAAATGAATTAAATTAATGTACATTCTGCTCAACCAAATGTAGAATGTAAGCCCACTAGTGATTAGTCTTCATGACTGTGACAATTCTTTTAGGCTTTGACCAGTTCCATTATCTGAAATTGTTGTGAATAAATCTCTACATGTATATGTGAGGACTTTGAATTGGGTTAAATCCAAAAGGCTGGCGAAGGCCTTGAGCTAACTCTCTCATTTCATTTGATGTTTGATTTTACCTTTTAAATATTTTCTGTATTCCCATTGTTTTGTGTATTTGTACATTTGGCTATCGGACATGTGTGATAGGCCTGCTAGATATGCACATAAATTGAAAGACAATGAGATGTGCACAGAATTTTCTTTTGTTGACAATCGCTTGGCAAGTCTTGCACTAAATGACATTAAATATTCAGAAGGATAAAAAATTATGAGAATGGGCTCAGGGTGAAAATCAGTGAACATATTGAAGGGTTATCAAACACCTGTTGTATGTTACCATTGTCATCACGCAAAACTTAAAATGATTTGAAAGCAATCCTCTTTGTCCTCAGATATTTGCTAAAATCAATAACCTCGCTTGACCCTATTAAACCCCTTGTTATAATGCTTCTATTATATTGGTAAATAGACTAGGCGCGTGCCCACCCTTGTTAGAATTATCTCTCTAACAATGACAACGAATTTGAATAATAAATGGATAAAAACGGCTTTTCCACGTATTCGTCAAATATTCAAAACACGTGTTTCCCATAGCAGAAATTTATAATAATCACCATTTCAGTTATCTATTATTTATTACACATTTTAAAAACTGTTCATATCGAAACACGTGTTAGTTCACAAACTGTTAAACTGTCAAAATCTATAAAGAATCTCATTAAAGTATTTGTTTCCATAAAGTTATCTCTTTGAGAACAAAAAATATTCCTTTACTACAATATCAGTATAGATCAAGTTTAACACAAGTAGCACCTTTTTGAAATCATAAGAAATATATTAATGTTAAATATTTACAAAATTATTTACAAATCACTATTATACGTGAATTATTGCACGGCTTGGCCTTAAATATTATAATAAAAAAACATACGACACATAAATAAATAATACATAAGTTAAATAAATAGATAAATAGGATACATAAGTATAAACAAATGACTAGATATACTCATCCACAATTATATATTAATTTCTTAAAAAGTAGAAATAAAAATGCAAAATAATTTATGAAAAAATACTCTTGGTATAAATTAATAAATTAATGATATAAATAAAAAAAAATACTCAAAGCATATAGACAGTGGATTCCTCCCATTCACATAATATTAATAAATAATAACGAATTCGATATTACAAATTCATATAAATAAGCATGGACACAAATTAGCTATTTACACTATAGAAAATATCACAGATTTTTATTCGACAGAAAATGTTCCTTACTGTATTCCATCTTTCAGAAATTGTCTCATTTTATTGGGTAATGGCAAAAAGTCTATCGTTGTCGTTCCTTTAACTTTAGACAGAATAGAAGCACGGCACCTATCTTGTAGATTCAAATAACTACGTTTCCGGGTTCCAAGAGTCATCTCTGTTTTGGCGGCGGTGGACGTAACAATTGGGTAAAGGTCGTAGGTGATCTGATCCAATCCAGAAAAAGCCACACCTAAGCAATCACCATCTTTGAAATAAGTTAAAGTTCCCGATTCACCGTCGTATAACATACCAATGATGGTGGATGAATTCTCTTGAAATGGCTTGGTGTAAACTCTCGATAAACCATTGTGCCACAAGAGACCTTTATGAGACAGTCCCCAACTCTGTTCATCCTCTCCTAATAAATTCACAAACGCATCCACATGTAACCGAGCCTTTTTAGTTCCAATTCCGAACATCATGCTGGTACCAAAGAGTCTTTGAGATATCTTGATTTCCCAGTAATGTCTGCCAATATTTATTGGTTTAGATCCTCGTACGCCGGCTGTTCCGTTACTCCAGTTGGGATGAAAATAAGCCGTCTGTAGCTGTTTACCATGTATTCTAACTTCATGTGACTTTTCCCGTCTGTTCCAACTCCAAGCTGCTCGACAGCCATCTGATAAAGGTGTAGGCATTGTAAATAATATACTCCTTAAACAAAAACCACAGCTGATAAATTTTCTTTCTTCCCAAAAATATCTAATTTCAAAATATCCTTTGTCTTTAGTAAACACTACAAATTTTATATTAAGAAAAGCATTCCAACTAATTATCTTGCATACAGCAATGACAGTCCTTTTTTTTCTTCGAAATCCACGTTTTACTACTCCCTTTCCTTTATCAAAATTCAAATATTAACAAAACAAAAAGACGTTAGGAGTTCGTCTGCTAGAGACATTTGGTCCCTCCTCCAACAGGGCTTTACAACACCCGGCCAGATTTATCAGCCCTTTATAGGGACAGGATCCCGTTAGTCGGACTACTGGCCCATTGTTTTCACTACCATATACAGATCGAGAACAAAGAAACAAACTGTCATTATAAATGCATCGAATGCTTGCAATTTTAAATCACCCCTTGATTTTGCTAATCAAAACGACCGGCACGTGTCGTTTATAGATTTCTATTATTCTTGGGTAAGTCCCACTATCATAATAGGGGTCATAGGGGATCAGCTGTCCAATATTATGGCTGTATTCGATTCACCGAACCGTTAAGCAAAGCGTGCAAATTTAACGAAGTAATCAATATTATTTCTACTGTATACATTTATAAATGCCCTTTGTTTTATATTTCTCTGACTTCTGCTACGGAAATTTGAAAAAAAAAATCTATGCATGTGAAGAGCTTCGTAGAATATAAATTCAATCTATACGTATATGGGATGCGGAGAATAATAATTTAATTTAATTTTTTCGCATTACGACATGCTATAAAACCGTGAATTGATATCAAATGTGTAATTATGGCAGATATTGATGACGAATGACTTGGGAACATTCACTGATATGAAAGCTGGCGATAGACATGTTAATCGTATGAGACCCGGACAATGATATATATAAATTAGAAAAAATAAGGATTGGGTATCCACCATGTGTTGACTCCCAATAACACCAAACCTAAATACAGCTGATCTTACAAAACAATAGCTGATCTTATCACCTGATATCACTGCCTATATTCTCTGACAACTGTTACCTCAACACAATATTCCCTGTACCACTCATATTCAAATTTACCACATTCTCCCCTTTGTGTACCAGTATAAGACGACGCGTGTTTTAAGCGTTATATTTTTTTCAAATAAAAACCCTTATTGAAGCTAACTTATCCTGTTCTCACAGATGTTATTGACTTTCCAATTAAGTTTTGAAATTTAAAAAAATAATATTTAATTGGTAGTTTTGTAAAATGCTGTTTAAATGTTATTTCGTGTACTATTATTTTGTATGTCTATAGGGGGAAATGATAGGATCAATTTGCACCATGCCAAAGTTAAATCAGACGTTTGTGGTTCCTGCAATTCCACTAAAAGTAAGTGTTTTGTCACGTCACTGATCGCAGCAATGCCTTTAATCTCTAAAGATTCAAGATCAATTTTCATAAGGGAAAACCCAAATCGCAAAGTGACATCAAGTTTCTGGATGTCATGCATTGCTTGTGATATTATACACTTAATGCTTGAGAATATTGGAGCTTTGTATGCTATAATTAAAGACATCAGATCTATCTGCAATGCGTGTTTTCCCTGATCACTGAGAAAGATAATCATTGACTTTAAGATAATCTTGACATTGGGCATGATCAAAAATATCAGTTTACAACCAAATTTACATATTATTACATCAACACAGATCGTATCTTAACATCTACATTTGGTATACATTTAGGACAGATGTGATGTCCAAAGATGTACCACATATTATATAATATAGTTGATAATCAGCTTTTATCATGAACCGTTACATTTCATTGTTTTATAACCTAACTGTTGGATACAATCTAACAACTCTGTACACACGTGCCTCTCATTACGTTAATTATTCATGTAAATACCCCACTGACTAGTGTCCAGTGCACGGAGAGTGATATCAACTTTCTATAACAAAACTGACCCCAGCTGTCAACTTGTAAAACTGTAATGAACCACATGTTGTTCGCGTGTTATAGGGTTTTATTGTTTAGTAACTGTATTTTACTGTGAATATTTAATAAATTTAAAACATTTAATAGTATTTGGTTGCACATCATTAATAATTATATTTCTGAATAGGTGAAAACTGGTCTATTTTTCTTACAAATAATTCACAAAACACTAATGTATCTCTGGATTTAAATTGTGCTTTAAATAACAATGGCGTGCTCAGCACACATTGCCTCTAAAGGAGTGGAAATATGAAAAGAATGGAGTTATACGTACTACATTTTTTTGCCCAATGTGGGCTAATGAAGAGGGATCTTTAACGTGCACAGCCTGTAGCACTAGCAGAATCATAAAGGGCATGAAGTTTACGGGGCGGTGTCATCCAAATACTATGCTATCCTATTTCAAGTAACTTTACTATTAAAGCAATTTTTCGTCTCGGGTCTCACGCTGCACGTCTCAAATTTCGAGCTAGTCTCAGGCCCATAGCTACTGGGGCCGAAAAATGGATTGGCCCTTGAAAAACCGACATTGCTCCTCTGGATACTACCTCCGGCCCCATCCCCACAACGAAAAACTAAGTCTGGCTAACAGGTCTAGCAAGTATACTACTAATGCAGCCCTATTGATCATATCCAGGGTTGCAACAATGGCCCGTAGTAGATTTTGATTAATCGATAGTCTATCATATAATTATTATTATTAATAAGAGAGATAAAGGACAGATGGTCGACGATACACATAAACATGTTATCATTGTTTTACTTTCGATAGAACAGGTGTCGTATTGTCCTTCGAACTCTTTCATCTTTTACTAAATGAACTAATTCTGTTGATTATCTTGGCGTCACCAAACACACTTGTAGTTTTGGTACATTTGGTAATCAAATTAATGACGTCTCAAGCGCACTAGATATTTTTGAAAAAATTTAGAATCCGGCAGAGATGATGGGGTAATAACTTATGTTGAAGAGAAACATCCAAGTGAAGCAAGTTCACAATTCTTCCTTGTAATTCATCGAAAACTCCTCCCCCTCCCACCAGCAGGGGCGGCTGTAGAACTTTCGATGGGGACCATCGCCAATTTTATTTTGAATCCATTCTTGGGGAACAATTTTCGGAAATTAAGGGCTTAAAATTCCTATATTCTATCCATTACACTGAAAAATGCATAATTCTACTCCAAAATTGATAATTTGGGGCCTTTAGGGCATCCCTTGCACCCTCGCCTATTTGAGCAGCAACTGTCACCCCGAATGTCTCACATTTCCTGTCATTGAGTTCTGCAACGCCTGGAGTCATGGTACTGGCTACTACCTTCTCCAATACTTCAATGAAATAATGAGAAATATCATTTTCACTTTTTAAACTTTTTTTCAAATTATAATTAACAAAGACAATCAGCACAATTAATAATGAAATGAAGTAATTATTACAGCTTCTTACAATATACAATTTCTACAAATATAGTTGATAGTTACATTAGTTACCTTTTCTTGATAACAATAGGCTATCTTTATCTACTACTTACAAAAATATCTATATACAAAATTAAAAATCACATCATTTGCAAAATGTTAGTGAAAAGTCTTGTCAAAATCATGAGCCCTTTTCTAGTCTCTGCTGACCATTGTCACAAGAAGTCGGGATCAAAATTTTTTTTTTTTAGATATACACACTGATCAAGATTTTTACTTACTCAAATAGATCAAGATAGTTTAGATTTTCATACTGGTCAAGATTTTACAATATTTGGGTGGATCAAGAATTTTAAAATATTCAGATTAATCAAGAATTTTAAAATATTCTGATTAATCCAGAATTTTAAAATATTCAGATAGATCACACTGATCAAGCTTTCTACATATTCAGATAGTAAAAATTTGTATTTATTAATGATGAAGTCAGCAGAGAATTGACAAGGGTTAGATTTTGAGGACTTTAAATCCTGGGTATTTATACAAGTATACTCAATAAGGTTTCATATCAAGTGATAGAAACTGTACAAAGATATAATATAAGACCTTAACCATGATTCTTACACCACTTTAGACATTTTCTAGGGTTTTTTTTCTTAGGGTGCGCTTGATTAGTGAGTTCTGCACGTTCAGGAAAATTTTGAATGTGATATATTGAGGCAGTTTTGGAACAAACAGAATCTGTTCAGACCTCACCAATTGAGCACCACCTTTATATGAGTGAATCAGTGATGAGTACAGACTAAAGATACACTACTCTAAATATTTGATTTACCAGCTGATAGAGCTCTAGTTTCCATAAGAATTAAAATCTGACATCTAGTTCTTGAACTGTGAATTTTATAACCCTACAACAGAATTAATTTTTTGATTCTAGAGTCATATAGATGGCTAAAATTGAGGTTTATCAGTAGGTAAAGCAAATATTTAGACAATAGTACTGTACAATAGTATTCTGTTCAGATGAGGTATTGTACAATCATTAAAGAGATTGTAAAGAGGTTTTTCTTAATTTTTATGTGTATCGGGGACACTGATAGCATCAATTTGCACCATTCCAATATTCAATCAGATATCTGTGGTTCCTGTAATTTTATAAAAAATATAGTTTGACGATGTCACTTATCGTGGGTGACAGCTTGAAACCTCTGATATGCCATATTTGGTCATTTAGACTTTTTGGTATGTTCGAAAGCTCGTAAAAGTGCGAATCTTGTGATCAAAACCTTGTATTCTTAGCTTGATTGTAAATAACTCAAAAAGCACTAATTAAATAACACGTATATAAACAGTCAGATTTAAAACATCGTAAAATATATTATTATACGAGGTTCAATGTTCGTTTTCTGCGGATGAAAATGAAAAACCTTGTATACTGTATTATTATACGAGTTTTTGGTTCAATAGGCCTGCAATTCCAATAAGACTAAGTGATGGATGATGTCACTAATCGTGAAGGGTCTTATGTGATAATGCATATTTTGCAATCAGTGACGTCATAAACGCCTACCTTTTTCTATGGAATTGCAGGAAAATTGGAATGGTGGAAACTGATGCTATCAGTGTCTCCTATACACATAAAAAGTTTAGAAAATCTCTTTACAATTTCTTTAATATGAGAGACATTCTTTAATGATAAAATGTTGTATTAAAAATCAGTTTTTCTTTCGTGCCCTTTAACTGACATATGCCCTCAAAATATTTAAAACATTTCTGCTTTGAGATATTAAATGCATATGCTAAATTATTTTGCATAGGAAAGCTATATATAGAAGTTCCATTGACTACCAACATCAATCTGAAGCCAATCTGACACAATATGCTTCAAGCATTGGATCTAAGATTCTTCATATATGACGAAAATAAAATGTACAAAAAATTACAATAAATAAACTAAATTCTTTACAATTTGTGCTAAAGGCTAAGTTGGCCTAATTTCTACAGGTAGCAATTTATTTTATGCGAAAAAGAAGATCAACCTTCGCTTACTTTATTAATTAAGCCTATTTCTTTTCTAAATTTTGAAACAAACCTTTTTAAATACAAAAGAAATGCTAGCAATTGTAAATGTTAATAGAACTTTTAATAATAAAAGATTTAAGCACTGTATTTGGACACTATCTTGGTGAAACGAAAATTAGGGACAGCCATTTTAAACAATATATCATTACACTAAGATCTAAGAAACAAATAAAATAGAAGCTTAAAGATAAGATGAAGTCTAATCTATACTTAAGTTAAGCAAGTTTTAAAAATTTAAAACCAGCTTAAAGAAAATCAGTCTTTTTCTTACCCTTAATTTCAATTATTATGTAGATTGCACTTGATTTTATATTTTACAAAACTACCAATATATTTCTCAATGATATTATCACAATTTCAAAATCCACCCTTAAGTTTATTTAACACTGATATCTTTTGAAAGCTCATTCATTAATTCTGAACAAGTATCCAATAAGAGCTTATTTTTTTTTCTCTGAATGAATATCCTTTGAATGATTTACCAGTTACGCTGAATGGATATCTGCAGATTTTCATTGAAAGCTTAATCAGTTATTTTAAATAGATATCCATTGAAACTTTAATCAGTTATTCTGAACAGATATCCATTGCAAGCTTAATCAGTTATTCTGAACAGATATCCATTGAAAGCTTAATCAGTTATTCTGAACAGATATCCATTGAAAGCTTAATCAGTTATTCTGAACAGATATCCATTGCAAGCTTAATCAGTAACTCAGTTATTCTGAACAGATAGCCATTGAAAGCTTAATCAGTTATTCTTATTCTGAACAGATATCTATTGAAAGCTTATTCAGTTATTCTGAACAGATATCTATTGAAAGCTTAATCAGTTCTTTTGAGCAGAAATCCATTGAAAGCTTAATCAGTTCTTTTGGGCAGATATCCATTGAAAGCTTAATCAGTTCTTTTGAACAGATATCTATTGAAAGCTTAATCAGTTACTTATCCATTGAATACTCAAGAAAGCCATTCTGATTTAATTTCCCAAACAAAAGCTACATGAAATTTTTGATAGCTGAAAACGATTGTAAAAAGTTTTTTCTATTGAGCAGTGGGGCAGCTTAGATGCAAGAGATTTGATAGGAATCTTCTGGGCAATTAGGTACAAATATATCTGATGACTGGCTAGTGTGTAATATTTTTTCACTAATAAGATGACTTGATTCATGTTTAAAATTGCAGCCACGGACTAAACCCAAAAGTCATCTGATGAGTGTAAATTAGGAATGCCCTCTATTCTGGAGAATGAAAAACTCCTTACAATCTCTTGCAAATAATGATTCATCCAAACTTTTAAATAAAATAATTCTATACATTGTTACACTTTCAAAGGGAACCAGCCCTTTCTGTATTATATATCATTTTAAAACCAATTTTGGGAAACACATTTAAGCTTTAAGGGAAAAATATATATCTATGACATTGCATCACAAGAAATATTCTGTTCTACTCATGACATTTTTTGCAAAAATAATTTTCTCATGTGTTATCTTGAAAAATATGGATGAGATGGGGAATTGGAATTTAAAATAGATTAAAACATGAAATTTTCCCAATAATTGTGTCCTGAGATGAAAATATAGGCGTTAGAAAGTAGCCTTCCATCATAGGCAGTCATACAGCATGGAACATTGGAACTTTTGTCTTGTTGGTGTAAGATAGGGGTATAAATAAATCAGATATTTGTCACTGGTTAATCACAGCTATAATCTGACTTGAAGTTGTCTCCCTTTACTTGATAATTCATTACATTCATGGCCGATGAAACCTGCAAAAAACAAAACAAATCAATGCTAGATGTTATTTTCAAATCAAGTGTCAGGCTGCAAAACAAAAAACGTTTATGACCTGATTAAATTTGCATGATGCACACCTGTTAGTAAACTTTTTGATTGTCAAATATTTATATGTCTTCTCCATATTGATTCTTCCTTTCTTTTGCAGATCCCCGAAAAAGATGTACTTTAAAAGACCTTCTGCCATTAACAGCCTTATGTGTTCTCTTAAAAAAGAGAGCTCTTATTATAGGAAGATTTACTGGTCATTGTTTTATGCTATTATGCAATTGAAAATATAACATTATAGTTATACATAGTTATATGTACATATTTTCCATTGGCATTTTTTAAATTTGTTTTTGTTGATATAATTGTAAACACCATACCTTGTGAGATGTCTACTGTCATCATGTACATCCATTTCTTTACTTTTAAACTCATTTAATTCTTTTCTTATCACAGCCTATAGAAATAATATCAATATTTAGATATAAGATTTGAGAGCACATATAACTGGAAACACAAGGGAATTATTATTCAAAGTATCAAAGTATGGCACTCTTGATACAATTGGTCTAGAAATTGTTGAATATTAATTATATTGAAAAAAGACACAGGCTTGCTTCTCCCGAATCCCATTATGATCAGCGCTTAGAGATTACTGAGAGTGAACTGGAATACTGAGGTATAGAAATTTTAATTATTATAAATACAAACTACTCTTACAAAATAATAATATCAATAATATCAGAAGCTCAAAACAATTGATTCCTTTTTTTTTTTCACTGATAAATTTGCATAATATGACATAAAATTCAAATTTCCAAAGGACACTTTAAAGGGACGGATGTGGCATTTTTGGGGGTTGATTTTAGTCCTGAATATATGTAAATAGACTTTACTCACTATTTCTATATATGTATTTTCTATAGATGACAGAGTAATTCAAATTTATGAGTCGTCATTTTAATATTTTAATGCAGATAATTCTGGACACACATGTTTTTAAATGCTCAAATTTTGACGGCGAGCTGTGAACACTATTACTGATAAACTCAGCTAAAAAATTGCAGTTTCTGAGACTAAAGTATGATGGTAATGGTAAAAAAACTGGCCAACCTGTCCTTTTAATCACTGCAAACTGTCCTAAATCTGATATAGATGTAGACATAATAAAATAAACAGTAAGAATGATGTGATAATTTACCTTATCTTTTGGTGTTAATCTTGTCCAAGGTTTATCAGCTCTTCTGTCATATTCATGAGCATCTGTCATTTCAATATAATCATTAAACTTTATAATTTTCTTTTCTTTAAGTTCTTCTACACTCGGTCGGAAACTTAACTACAAAATATCACCAGAATTTATCATATGAAGAAATATCAAATAAACATAGCTATCCAGGTGGAATCCACATTTTATTATTTCAGTTAGCAGAATTTACTTAATCAATTTAGTCAACAGTTGTGAAATGAGGTCAGCTTGATTGCTGAGTTCTGCATGTTCGCGATTCATGAAATTAACCAGGCATTCAACAAAACAAGTTGGAACAGGGTTCAGAACGCATTCCATGTGCTCTGAAAAATTAGTTAGTGTAGGCAGAGTTCTAAATGGCGGAGAAAGAACTAGATGGGACAATTAAAAATGCTGCTTGAGTTCTATGACGCCAGAATTTGGAACAGACAGAACCTGTTCAGAACACTCCAATCAAGCGCAACCTATGATTACAGCTTTTCAGAATGAAAAATTTAGCAATTTATCGAGATGGCTCAAGCCAAGCAGATATCATAGTTGATGTAAGAAAATAGTTTGAAATGTGAAAGTTCATATAGTGAATATCACTCTACTCTTCCAGCAACATAATTACATAATAATAAAATGAAGATTTTCTTCCTAGTTTTCTACAACAGGTAGGGCTAATGGTGACATCATGCAGTTTGCAATGAGGGAAACTTAGCCAGGACAGCATAATTAGTCTCTACCCTTTTTCCATTTCCAAGATTAAGGTCAAGGTTAAATAATCCTAGCTTTTTTCATTTCCAACTGTCAAGATTACAAAATCCAAAGCTATATGCCAGGATTGAATCTTGGGCCCTTTTTTTCCATTTCCAACTGTCAGGGTTACAAAATCCAAAGCTATATGCCAGGATGGAATCTTGGGCCCTTTTTTTCCATTTCCAACTGTCAGGGTTACAAAATCCAAAGCTATATGCCAGGATGGAATCTTGGGCCCAGCAGGTTAGAAAGCTGTTCGTTGTAACTAAACAACCAGGATTAAGCAGGTGACTACTGAGATTTCTAAGTGAAGCAGAACTAATGCTTACCTTTCTAATTAAATATCTCTTCTTTTCTTCTTTTGTCATAATTCTTTCTTCAGTTGACTGGGCTACAAGGGAATGAACATTAAATATAAACAATGAACTGACTCCACACAAAAATACATTTTCAATTCTGGCTACCAATGGTTTTATGGTTTTGCATTGTTTTAATTTTCCTTAAGATGTCTATGGTTTATTTAATAATAAAAATGCTAAACCATATAAATGTTGTCACTTTGAGAAAAGTTGCTAATAAATTATTAGCAGTTTTTTTTTTTCACTAATGAAGTTGTTAAAAACTTAGTTTTAGTGAAAAATTGGAATGGTGGAAATGAATGTCACCAAGTGCTATCAAGTGCTATCAATTGCTATCAATTGCTATCAAGATACACATAAAAAGTTAGCCATAGAAAATGAAGTCCCTTTCAACATCTTTAATCTGTGATGTTAAAGTATGACCTATACACCATTTATGTATCTTTACAATATCAAACAATTACCAATTTTATCTTATACCTTGACTGCAATAGCCACCTTTATTGTATCACGAAAGTTTATAAATGCAGCGATTTGGTTGGATCATATGTTACCGATTCAGCAAATCAGAGTCCTTAACAAAGTCTCTAAAAATAAGCCGAAATGTTTACGGTCCGTCTGTTGAGGGCTATGATTGACTGTATTCATTTGCGTACAATCCAATCAAATTGCTGCATTCTGTAATACAAGATAGGATGGCTATTGTAGTCAAGGTATTAGACATAGTTCATAATAGCTTAATATTATGAAGATGCCACTTATGAGGTACTTGACAATCAAAGTTAGGAGATGGATGCTTTCATTGTTAATCTACTTACTATGAAGAATATTTTTTTGTTCTAATTCTTCTTGTGTCGGTCGTAAACTTAACCGTCTACAAAATACAAATACATATTTTACAAATTTTTCTACTATCATTGCAGAATTTAATTGTCAAATCATCAAGTTTTTTTTTTTTTTTTTTTTTTTTTTTACAACATTTGCCTACCAGTTGATTAAAGACATTTCAGATTGAATCTCTGATGTTGGGTCATCTATTAAAAACTAAACCTTTAGATGGTAAAGCATAGTTTTATTCAAAATTGGGTTATATACAAGTCAAGTTGAGAATATGCTGATATGCTGGTAACATCTATAATACTTAAGTTCAAAAAAGTCTTAAGAGTGATTGTAAAGAGGTTTTCTAAAATTTGTATGAGTATCAGGAACACTGATATCATCAATTTGCACCATTACAGTTTTCAGTCAATGGTTTTTACAATTCCACTAAAAGTAAGCGTTTTATGACGTCACTATTGATTAGCAGCATATTGCGATAGTGACGTCAAAACACAAGAATTGCAAAAACCACAGACATCTGGTTGAATATTGGAATGGTGCAATCGATGCTATCAAAGTCCTCTATGAAATTGCTATTTTTAGAAAACCTCTTTACTATACCCTTAAAGCCAATTTATTATGTTCAGAACAATTTTCCATTCGGCAAAGGGGACAAAAAACCTCAAAAGTTACAAGAGTAACTACAAACCTACCTGGTTAATTTGGATTCTATGGCTTCCTTAGTTTGTTGTTTTTCCCTGTCTGATTTATTTGGAATGATATTTTTTTCAATTAAATCGTTTTTAGTTGGTCTATTAGATAAGAATCGAGCTAAACTATCTTGCCGAGCTACTTTAGAAGCTAAACCATCTGAAATAACAATATGTAATAATGACATTAATATGGGATTGTAAAACTGAGGTTATGTATGCTATAGGCATAGCATATTAAGAAACTCTCATCAGTTTGAAAACAAAAAAGAATATGGGTCAATTTCCTGGAAAAATTTCCCTCATTGTGCACTGCTTTTGGTTTTCAAGATCATATTCATCTAAAAGAATATTTTCATTGAAGAAAATGAGTACTTGGTTGTCCAAAATTTTCATTGAGAGCTGTAATCAATACTTTATGTGTGAATCCCCATGAAATCCAATGCCTCGGTCAGTGCATTTAGAGGTTTCTGATCACATGACCAATACCTTTTTTTCTAAATATTTCTTCTTAGAGAAATTCAATTCAAAAAAAAAAAAAAAACTAAACCACATACTTTCATCATAGTCATCTTTATAATGTATTTCTCCATCTTCAGAATCATCCGAATCATGACTAAGATTATCATAGTCTGGACTAAAAGTGTCTGGTGGTGCTGGTGATGGTGTTCTTTCAGGTATATTCTCTTTATTTTCTTCTCTATAATACAATAATACACTGATGCAATACATGTTCTATTTATTATTAAAGGTACACTACCTCTTAGGATGACAAAAAAATGAAATTTTAAAACTTGGACAAAATGAGTCTTTGTCCATCAATGGACTTACCTGATGTCATTATTGTACATCAAAATCCCTCTATAATCCATAAAACTAAGTAATAATTCATTAAACTATGTAATTTTGAAACATGCTTAGAAGCCTATTTCAATAATTATTTAGTTTAATAGATATACCTTCAATAATAGAGATTCTTTAGTCATTGTAAGTACAACTGATGAATATATACACTTGTTGATCAAGTTTGAAAATCTAAATTTTATGTCCATTCTAAGAGGTGGTATTCCTTTAAACCCAAGGGGTGAGAGAAGCAGCAGTGAAATATACTTTAAGTCATAATATTTGGAGTTCAGGCTATATGACCTTTCATGTCTTTCTCACTCAGTGTTTGAAGAGTTAAGACAAGTTTCAGTAGTAAACTAAAGCATTAATACTTACACACTAAGATTGTTTTGAGGTGCATTATTGAAGTGAACAGCTCCAGGAGGCTGGGGTGATGCTCGTCCAAACTGAACTCCTCCAGTAGGCTGAGGGGAGGCTCTACCAGTAAAAGATACATGGCTAGTACTAAGATTAGAAGTATCTATAGGTCGTTTTAAACTAGAAGTCACAGCTGACATGACGCCATCTGGGTATTTTTTCTTTAGGGCACTTTTCTTGGGTAAACTACGTAGATCTGGTTCACTGGCTGGTATGGCATCATAAGGTGAATTAGGATCTGACATGAAATAGGCTATAGGATCATCATAATCACCTGTACCATCTCCATAACCTACAAGATAGTAACAAAATTAGATACCAACAAAATTCATGTATGCAGACACTCTTAACTAGCATATTACCAATTTTTTTGGGATGCTTCATCTTTTACGAACATTAAATTATCAACACACATTTTGTTTATTCAAAATATTGAAGTCCTTTGTCTGTGCTTTTGAAACTTTTGTCATTAGTACAACCTTACATACTATTAAGTCATCATATCCTCTAATATTCAATGTTAGTGTGTCGACTGTTAGTTACATAGTCATCGAAAGAGAGCTTGATTTCAGCTACCTGTATCACTTTTAATTATCAAAATTTGACATCCAGTTATTCTGTGGTTAAATTCCACATACAATAGATGTTTTCACTATCATTCCTGACATTATCCACCTTCAATTCAAAAATAACGATCTATGACATCATGATATTGGTAAAATGTGCAGTTGATATTGCAAAGAACATCCTTGTTATTATTATTCAAAACTTCAATAATAGTTCATTTTTATGGAATTGCAGAAGAACTAAATGTAAGAATTTAATCCAGAAAGAGCTACAGATAGCTTCGATCAACTCTATCAGTTGGCAAAGTAAATATTCATATGGCTATACATGTATATCTTTTAAGCAAATCAACCAATAATATAATTTACTTACTATCATTAGAACGTGGTATATGAACTGTTTCTGCTGAAGGTTCAATACGTCCCCATCTGACAGTTGTAGAAGATTCTGGTTGTACTGTAGATTGTTCTATTACTGTAGGGGGTGGGGAGGATAGTTCGACTAAAGGTGAGGGTACAGGGGGATTGGATGATGAAATGGGAGGTGGGGGTAGAGAAGGTGTTAACTGAGGGGGAGGCACGACAGGAGGAACAATGACTGGTCTGACATGAGCTGATGATACTGAAATAAAAATAATAAAAAAAATCCAAAATATACCCAAGTTGCTCTTTAGCAAATTTTAATTGGCTGAATTATCTTCCATCAAAAAACACACCGTTCAAAACAATATTGTTAGATCCACAGTTAATTCAATCACTGATGTCATGATTAAACATTAAAAGTAAAAGAATGAAAATTCAACCAAACTTTCCAATATGGCCGACTCTTACCTGTTGGCGTTGTATTAATACTAGTGACTGCTATTTCTGCTTGTGTAGTTGTCAATGACGATGATGTAGGCCGAGATGACGATGAGGTTGACACTGAAGTCACTAATGAGTCACTTGAATTAATTGAAATTTTATTGTCATTTTCACAGATTTTAGAATTGGAATCCCCAATGGCCCCTGCTTTAATCTGGTCTGGTCCTCCATTATTAGCAACACTATCATTGGCCTTATCTAATAATGTTTTACTTTCACCATTAATAGCATCTGTGTTTTGTTCTTGCACAGTTTCTGAAAGTACAAAAAAAATATATTGACAGTAAGTTTGAATATGCACAGGAAACAATTACTGTGTGGGTCTTCAATTCATCCAGGAGCAGAGGTGGCTCAGTGCGTTCGACACTTGCTTGGTCTGAATGTCTAGGATTCAATCCTGGCATAGGTCGAAATAATACCTTCCTTTTTTTCAACCTGGTTTTCCCCCGTCTGTGATGAAGATAAGATAGGCTGACATGAAAAAAGCATCTAGTCGTTCGAAAGGGGCACTAAAACGGACCCTGTGTGCTACAAGCTGTGCACGTTAAAGGCTCCTCGATGCTGCTGTCATGGCAAAATTTCCCTCGTTGCACACTGCATGACGTGTCCATCTGCATTAGCCCACACGGTGCAGAAAAATAAAACGTAAAACTCCATTCATTTCATTTCATTTCAAACCCATCCATCTTCTTTTCATTCCATTTTCACACCATAACAAGCTAATTTTTAGAATAACTATTAATGTCTCTATCTTCTTATAAAGATTAACACAAATCAAATCTGAACAAGTATTTGCAAAGTTTGGCAACACCCTTTTTTATTCTATAAGGACTATGCTCAATTTCATATCTTTTAAGGCAAGAATATATCAGGTTAGCCAACAAGCTTTTTTTGGTTCACATCCAAAATTTGTTATAAAATACTTGTTATATGAAAACATACAGGAAGCATAGTGTAGTTGGCTAGCATATGCTGTTGGTATGAAAATAGAATTGCATTGAGTCTGGTAAAGTACAAGTTTATTAAATCTGGCATACAAATATATTTTATACTGTCATGGTGCCAATCAATCTAAATAGATTCCTAACTATAAAATAAGCATTGAGAACTAAGGAAGGTTTTTCATATGATCTTTTATTTTCAAATATGAACCAGTTCATGACGCAGCCAATCAGATTGTGCTCTACTTAAAGATGGATTTCCATATCAAATTAAGCAAACTATTTGAATTATGAATTATCATGATTGTGTTTTTAACCATATCATTATGTTCTTATTGCATATAATTAAGAGTTTTAACCAATCATAAATGTTCATGAATGTACAGTCTGGATAAACAAAAAAAAATACTTTTTGACCTTTCTTGATCAGTCACTCATTGGAATTCCGCTGGTAATTTTCTTCTAATTTAGCTAATTATGAATTGATTATGGACACACCTCTTCTTTCTATTCATATAGTTATTAGCATTTTCATTTTCATAAATGAAAATAAGGGAATCCATCTTTAAAGAGCAGGGTAATCAATACAGTATATATGGGTGCAGATACAATTCATTCTTTTCTACGATAATCCTGCATCATACACCAAATTGGACACCATGTCTCTTCTACGACATAGATCACAGATGAATCAAGAAGTTAATCAAGGACTTCAAGAACTCATTGGATTTTAATTGACAAGAAAGGAAAACAAAAACAAATTGGTTGTAATTTACATTATTTACAATCAAGATCCCCAAATTCATTCAAGATGTTTCCAAATAGCCTAGCAAATTTCAACCCAAGGCCACATAGACCTTGTTATAAACAAAAATTATACATAAAAGTCATTTTCACATCAGCATAAGAATGATAATGATTCAAACGAACAATAGTTCAGTGTCAATTTTTTAAAAAAAATTATAAAGTGTAATTGAGGGGTGGAGTTGTCCATTAGTATTCACAATGACACAGTCACAGGTGTGACAAATAACCTTTATGAATAATCAATGTCTGGTTTAAACCAAAATGGTGAAATCTTTTTTAGAAATGAGACCAAAAAAAACCACAACAGAAATGTCAATACTCATCTAATGTTAAGGATGAATTCAAAATAAAATATTTGATTTGAAAAGTTGTCAAAATCAGCATCTAGTATGACAAACAGATTTTTGTCCAAATCCCAAAATTTACAAACGACAAGATATTCTTTAAAACATTTAAGTTTATAAATTTTTTAGACTGTCCTGAAACATGTCTCAGATTGTTTCTTTAGTCAAATGTTTTGAAAATTATCATACTTTCCAATTTGTAATAATACTATAAATATCTTGATCAAAAATTATTTTTAAAACTACACAAATTTGAATCCAACTGCAAATGTAAAAATCATAAATTTGTTCAGAGTGAGTGCTAAACTACTGTATCGAATGAACTCCGAATTATTTTGGTCACTTTACGAAACGAGTTTTGAACGCTTCCATAGGTGAATATTCCTATTGTTAACCAAACCACTAGCAAGAAATGACACAAGCTTACCTTCAAACTCATAGCATATTTTCAAAACCATTTTCAACAGAACAGAATCATTTACTAGGAATCTGTCTAAACCACAAGAGTCTATCATTTATAAAGCCTACAGGTGAAGAACTGTGCCAGAATTTGCACCATCCTACATATCTATGTACCAATCCCATTGTTTTTATGTAATAAATGTACCAGTTGATACTTACATAACCTTGAATTCTTTGAATATTGTTATTTATTAGTACTATGACTAATAACTAGGTACATTACAAAGAGGTGATGATTATTTGAGCAGAAGGTAGATGATGCAATTAAATGCATTAAGGTGTAAAGAGATGAGGTATGATGTTTAGTGATATTATCAATACAGTAGAGAATAATATCCTCACTGTTTACCTTGTGTGTATTCACT